CATGTGGAAATATGTCTCTGGCTGCTTTTTCTTTAGGTTAGTGATCTTCAGGAAGTAAATGGCCTTGCAGTGGAAATTCTCTAATCCACAGTCATAGGAATTTTCACAGGGAGGCACTCATGCATTTTTGCCAAAAGCTCCAGAATCTTTTTCCACAAAGGGCCTATTGCCTAGAGAGCTTCTCCCTACCAGCACCCCAGCATTTACTCTATACTCCAATAGCCCCAGCAATCTTACTGGCTTCCATTCAGCATGTGCAACTGGTATTGCTCCAATGGTGTGTTTACATGACTTCTGTTTTAGAATACCTGGTAGAGTGAAATTCCCCTACTAAATGCAATGTTTATCCCAATAACATAAGATGGTGAAAGAGAGGCAACCACCTTACAAGAAGCATGTTGAAAGATAACTGTCCTATTAATGTTTATCTTCATTCTAAGCACCTTCACTTTTCCTGAAGTCTGCCTTATGACTTCAGCAACATGTTTTGGTTTTTCCAGCACTTGGTAGGGGAGTATTGACAGCTATACAAGTATCCCTTCTCATCAAACTTTAGGTACATGGAGGTAGCACAGATTCTTTAAATAAAGCCTGTGCTGCCAGGAGTGGTGGCTCATGCCTTAATCCTAGCTGCCCAGGAGGCAGAAATAAGGAGAATCGTGGTTAGAAGATAGCCAGTTAAATTTCACAATCCTGTCAACCCTTAGAGTTTTATGTCTTAGTACCAGGAAGTTCTCTACACCTTCCCAAACCCTTTTTTGGTCCCCAGCAGGTGTTTGAGTCTAGGGAACCTGACCCTTAGTCAATCTCCCCTTTTCTGTCTTGCTGTATTGCCCCAGCTGACTTCAAACTTGTGATCCTCATGTCTTTGCCTCAACATGTATGTGGAGATTCCATGTAAGTGCCAGTGCACCCTGCAATTTTATCTTGATTCCTCTACTTATGGTCCCAGGTGGTTTCAGGTAGATTGCTCCTTGAAATCTGTATCCTCTGACTTTTCCAACTTCTCCCAACAGAGATAAAATAAAAGCAGCACACTTGTTTGGAGCCTTTCCATGGTAACAGCAGAGGGTCACTTTCATTCACTCCTGTCTAGTGATGTATTAAAATCTATGTTTAACCCCATCAATGCCCACTGTATTCATTCCATTTCTTAGAACATCTAAGTTTTCATCTTCCTGTGGAATCCTGTGACTATCCTTTTTTACTCATGCCAATGTTTTTGATCATAGAATAAAATGCTGAGTTGTCTTAAATTCAGAAAAATCAGTGGAAGAAAGGAATAAGATAAAAAGGAAGCTATTCAGCTAAAGGCAAGGACCAAAAATTTTCTCCACATTCCTCAGGATTTCAGTACATTCCTTCTGACTCAGAAGCCAAAGAGGACAATTTCGAGGGCTCATGGTATTCTGCCTTCAACACAAACCATCTGCCACAGGTGTTAGGCAAGGAGTTAGGAGACCTGAAGGCTGGGAATGGTAGCTTGGATGTTGATAAAGAATCCCATCCTAATCCACTGACTTTAAAAGAGCAACTTGTGACATATAGCAAGGTCTTTTTAACTCAACTCCAACAGCACACAGAAAATGAGAGCCCAATAGTATTCTCCAAGGCCATGAACTCACCTACTGACATGTTTACACATTTCATTGTCTTTAGGAGAGAATTACACATAACCCAGAACTACAGGAATGACCATTCCCATGCATGGAGACCCCAATAAAAGCTTCAAGTGCTGGGATCCTTGGGGCAGCCGCTCATTTCTGAGCCTGCCTGCTCTGCCTGCATGAGAATGGACGTGTACTTTACTTTCACTTTGGTTTGCATTAGTAAAATTGCTATGGATATAGCTTCCTCTTTGTCTGTTTTTGGATCCTTTCTCTGATGAGACCAAGAACCTCTGGCCTTGACCCTGTGACCCAGATCTGGTAAGAATTATAAAAGCAATAGTTACTTACTATAGTTATCCTCCTAACCCCAAATCATGTCTGCTTGGTAGATTCTAGCACTTTTCTCAACTAAGTTAATGCAAATATTCTTAATGTCATACAGAATTTTCTAAGTGGTTCTTGGTTCAGCTGCTGATAGGTGTGGAAATTTTCCAGGACCCAGCCCTGTCCTTTTCTGGCTAGCAACAGTAAGGAATGACTCAATAAGCCCCTTTGTTTCAGACTTTCCTAGTCTCCAGGATTCTGATTTAACATTTTCTTTATCCACACTATTTTTCAATGATCCCTTAAAAATTCTCTGTCTTCGTGGGGTGAGTCCAATGAATCTTTCCTTTGCCGTTTCCATGTTCTCTTCTTAATTAACCTCTACAGTTACAGCATGTCTAAGACCCATGAAGGAAAGCTATGACAGTAAATTGACAAGATTTCTCTGTCAGAGCTCAATTTTGCATCAGTAAAGTCATGTGGAGTGCCCACACAAATAGGACTCCATCTTCTTCAGGAAAAGGTCACCAATGTTGAAATCTCCCCACATTCCCCAGTACCACCCTATATATCACCTCAGTTGTAAATTCCTTTTTAGTCATAAATTCCTTTGAATACATAAATGCAGCAAAAGACAAGGGAGCCTCCTGGCTGGTTCAGACCTGAAAATGTCACATGCCCCAATAAGGGAAATCTGTCCTCAACATGACCTCTCAGATAAAGCCTTATGAATATTGGTCTCCTCTTATACATGCAAATAAAGACTTGGGATCAACATTAGCACATGGGTAGAATAGTAACAGGACCTTGTCAAAACTGTTAATTCCCTAGCCCCTCCTGCAAAGACCACCCAGACTTTCCTGCTATTTGCCCTTACAACATATAAATTGCCCTTGAGTTGGGATTGGAGCTTCTCTGTCAGCTGGCCAGGGCTCACCACTTTTTCTTTCATGAAATTTTTTCTATTGCCATACTCTGCAATTCATGTCTCTGTCCAGGAGACACAAGGAACTGAGGTCTTATGGACTAGGTTCTCCTTGGACCACCCATCCAGTAACAACCTTGCATTCCAAAAATGAGAGGCGTGATGGGCAAACACATTGTGGCAAGATTCAAACATACCTCCTTGCAACAATGATTTTATTATGACATGGCCTCATTTGCCCAATCCTGTTATAATGACCCACAGAACCTTTGCCTGGATTGTGTAATTATGCATTTATGCATACCTCTGGCCTTCTACCCCAAAACTTACTCTACTAAAACCTAATCTCATGTCTGTATTCACAAAACTCACTGAAATGCTTCCTCCTCTTCTTCTTCTCAGGCCAACTGGGTTAATAAACCTCTTTTCTCTATCCTTCACCCCTCTCTCTCTCTCTCTCTCTGTGTGTGTGTGTGTGTGTGTGTGTGTGTGAGAGAGAGAGAGAGAGAGAGAGAGAGAGAGAGAGAGAGAGTGGGTGTGTGTGTTTAATGCACTCTGATTTCTTTTTCTTGCCTATTGCAACAACTAGGCATTTCAATCCAACATTGAATAGAATGGATGATACATGCATATGTGTCTTGGTCTCACTATGATGGAAAAACATTAAATATTTTGCTATAAACTATTGTATTTGCCATAGATATTTTCATGATAGTACTTACCAGAATAACGAAGTTCATTATTTATTCCTATTTTTGCTAACTTATTCATATCATAAATGGACATTGAGTTTTAAAATCATTCAAAAAGAGGAGGGGAAATAAAGAGTAATTTAGGGGGTGAATTTTATGAAGAGACATTAAAGTACTACAATACAACTCCTTTGTACAATTAATACATGGTGATAAAAAAGAGAGAAAAAGAAGAGAAAGTCTTAATCTCTTTAACTGATGTATCAGGGCAAGTAGCCATATCTAACAGAATTGGGTCTCTAGCCTAGTATTTCCATAGCATTCATTGCATACCATGATTGAATAATGAGCTAGCTATTTGGAAGGGTCAACAGACTGACTGGGGAAATTCAGCAGGACTTGCTGTAGTCCATCCTCAAAGGTACTAGGCAGGGCCCCTGTGAAGATTCTTATGACCCATTTTGGCTTACCAAACAGTCTCAATCGAATCTGTATAAAATGTATTCCTGTGTCACATGGAGCCAAAACAGAACATGTTGCATGAACATGGACAGATCAACATCATTCTTGCTGGCCTGGAGTACACTGTAGATCCCATAATATGCAGCAGTGAGCAGAGACATTCATTTGCTAGAGAAGTGGAATAGGCATTCAAAACCGTGATATTCTAAGTGGGGGAGATAAAAGCATGAAAGGTTGCTGTGTGCACATCAGTAGGTTTAAGCCCAAAGGAATATCTCCCCAAGGTATGGCTGTGTCGTCCTGGTGGATGTGAGGAAGGGGATCTGGTAGGGTAGGATGCTGATGTGACTGTGCAGTCTTCTCCAGAAGGCTTATGCTGGTATTTCATAAACATATCATTTACATAGATGTGTGTGTGTATTATTTCTTACCCATAGCACCTACACTTTTATTTTACCTCCTACATGATGTTGTAGGGTCAGAGCCAAGGCTACATACAATTTCGTGTCAGGACAGGGTGATTACAAAGGAACCTTAGTTCAGAATTTCTGAGAATCTGATGGGAGTGCATTGTGCTTCAGCCCTATGGCAACCTTGGGGCTAACAGTGAGTGCAGCTCTATTGCTTGGTGCTCTAAATAGCCACTGCTTCCTCACCTGTGTAGCCTACCCTACTGGAAGGAGAGTGGACTGAAGGGAGGTGATAGAAAGTGTTAGAGCTGACTTGGGTTGAGGTTATTCAGTTGTGTCCACTATAGCACTGATTCCTTGCTGGCTGCTGGGAAAAAATCAACACACATTTTAGACCACAGAAGTGGTCTCTGTTGTGGGATTAGTGGGAAAAATAGTTTTCAGCTGGCTTTTCATTCCATGTCATCACAAGATGTCCCTATGAGCCTGTACCCATTGCACTTCTCTTTTCAACCCTCTCCAGGGACTCCCTGTCATCGCACCCACTGCGCACTGTGTTCTGCTTCCTGCATTGGTCATGACTGGGTGGCGCTGCCTAGTGACTGGAACAGGAGGGTTTCTGGGCCAGAGGATCATTCACTTGTTGGTGGAGGAGAAGGAACTCCAGGAGGTCAGGGCCTTGTACAGAGTCTTCAAACGAAAAAACAAAGAGGAAGTATCTCGTTAGTGAGCTGGAGACTTGTGTTTACGGCTCCACTGTGAATGATGAGTATGTGGGAAGGTATTCTTGTCTCCCAAATAAAGCATTTTAACTTAACTAAGAGATAACCTAGACAATCTAATGAATGTTACTTAATTTAGTCTAATATAACCATAAGATTTAAGGACACTGAAAAATATATTTAGGTGATAAAGAGTTCATTTATAAAGTTTATTCTGTTTTTAGTTACCTAATTTACCTATTCTTAATTAACTTGCTCATGTTCTTCTTTGGAAAGTTATCTAATATTTAAGCCCTTTTAAACTACATTGGCTTCTTACCAGATATTGCCTTTCGATGAGTACAGCAAAGAACATTTTTTCTGTACATCCATTATCCAACCTGATTAAACTGGCAGAGTTGTGAGATATACATATATAAATATGTATTATCTATAATATAGATAATATATTATCTATGAAGTATTTATTATTTAAATATATAATCCTTTGTTTTATTATTCAAGTCTTATAGTTTAATATTCAAGAAAAGCAAATTAATCATATAAAATCCGGTTTTGCTTTGCCCTGATTCCACACTTTGACTATTGTGAAAAGTGTTTCAATAGATTGCATGCTGATTTTAATTCCTTAGGATTTATACATAGCAGAGTTCATGGTAGGTCTTTTTTAATTTTAAGGAGACTCCTCACTGACTACCACAGTGGCTGTACTACTTTACATTCCCACCAAGAATTTATAATGGTCCCTTATCCCCTTCATCCTCACTAGCATTTGCTCCTTTGGTGTTTTTGTTTTTGTTTTTTTGGACAGTGCTGGGATTTGAACTCAGGGTCTCAGACTGGCTAGGCAGATCCTCTACTACTTGAGCCACTCCACCAGGCTGGTTTTGGGGGGAGGGTTTGTTTTCTTTTTTTGATGACAGCCATTCTGACTAGGGTAACATGGACTCTCGATGTTGTTTTGACTTGCATTTCCTTACGGTTAAGAATGTTGAGCATTTCTTCATGTCTGTATTAGCCATTTGGATTCCTTTTGAGAATTTCCTATTCGATTCATTTGCTTATTTATTAATTGATTTGTTTGTTCTTTTGGTGTTTAACTTTTAGCATTCCTTATATATTCTGAATATTAATCCTTTATCCAATAAATAACTGGGAAAAATTTTCTGCCATTCAGTACATTGTATCTTGATTCTGGTAATTATTTCCTTTGATTTGCAGAAGCTTTCTAATTTGACTTAATCCCATTTGTGAATTCTTGCTCTTATTTTCAGAGCAATTTGGAATCCTATTCAAAAAATCGTTACCTATGCCTATGTCTTCCAGAGTGTTCCCTATGGTTCCCTCTAGTAGTTTCACAGTTTGAGGTCTCACATTAAGATAGTTGATCAACATCAATAGCTACAGCAAGGTAGCAGGATATAAAATCAACATAGAAAAATCATTAGCATTTCTATATATTAATAATGAAAAAAAATGAAATGAAAAAGAATGTATGAAAACAATTCCATTTACAATAGCCTCAAAAAAAATCAAATACCGAGGTGTAAACCTAACAAAAGATGTGAATGACCTCTACAAGGAAAACTATACACTTCTGAAGAAAGAGATTGAGGAAGACTATAGAAAGTGGAGAGATCTCCCATGCTCATGGATTGGTAGAATCAACAAAGTAAAAATGTCGATACTCCCCAAAGTAATCTACATGTTTAATGAAATTCCCATCAAAATTCCAATGACATTCATTAAAGAGATTGAAAAATCTACGGCTAAATTTATATGGAAACACAAGAGGCCACAAATAGCCAAGGCAATACTCAGTCAAAAGAACAATGCTGGAGGTATCAAATACCTGACTTCAAACTATATTACAAAGCAATAACGATAAAAACAGCATGGTACTGGCACAAAAACAGACATGAAGACCAGTGGAACAGAATAGAGGACCCAGATATGAAGCCACACAACTATAACCAACTTGTCTTTGACAAAGGCACTAAAAATGTACGATGGAGATAAGACAGCATCTTCAACAAAAACTGCTGGGAAAACTGGTTAGCAGTCTGCAAAAAACTGAAACTAGATCCATGTATATCACCCTATACCAATATTAACTCAAAATGGATCAAGGATCTTAATATCAGACCCCAAACTCTAAAGTTGATACAGGAAAGAGTAGGAAATACTCTGGAGTTAGTAGGTATAGGTAAGAACTTTCTCAATGAAACCCCAGCAGCACAGCAACTAAGAGATAGCATAGATAAATGGGACTCATAAAACTAAAAAGCTTCTGTTCATCAAAAGAAATGGTCTCTAAACTGAAGAGAACACCCACAGAGTGGGAGAAAATATTTGCCAGCTACACATCAGACAAAGGACTGATAACCAGAATATATAGGGAACTTAAAAAACTAAATTCTCCCAAAACTAATGAACCAATAAAGAAATGGGCAAGTGAACTAAACAGAACTTTCTCAAAAGAAGAAATTCAAACACATGAAAAAATGCTCACCATCTCTAGCAATAAAGGAAATGCAAATTAAAACCACACTAAGATTCCACCTCACCCCTGTTAGAATAGCCATCATTAGCAACACCACCAACAACAGGTGTTGGCGAGGATGCAGGGAAAAAGGAACCCTCTTACACTGCTGGTGGGAGTGTAAACTAGTACAACCACTCTGGAAAATAATTTGGAGGCTACTTAAAAAGCTAAACATTGATCTACCATTTGATCCAGCAATACCACTCTTGGGGATATACCCAAAAGACTGTTACACAGGTTACTTCAGAGGCACCTGCACACCCATGTTTATTGCGGCACTATTCACAATAGCCAAGTTATGGAAACAGCCAAGATGCCCCACTACTGACGAATGGATCAAGAAAATGTGGTATCTATACACAATGGAATTTTATGCAGCCATGAAATGATAACGAAATGTTATCATTCGCTGGTAAATGGATGGAATTGGAGAACATCATTCTGAGTGAGGTTAGCCTGGCCCGAAAGACCAAAAATCATATGTTCTCCCTCATATGTGGACATTAGATCAAGGGCAAACACAACAAGGGGATTGGACTTTGAGCATATGATAAAAACGGAAGCACACAAGGGAGGGGTGAGGATAAGTAAGACACCTAAAAAACTAGCTAGCATTTGTTGCCCTTAACACAGAGAAACTAAAGCAGATACCTTAAAAGCAACTGAGGCCAATAAGAAAAGGGGACCAGGAACTAGAGAAAAGGTGAGATCAAAAAGAATTAACCTAGAAGGTAGCACACACGCACAGGAAATTAATGTGAGTCAACTCCCTGTATAGCTATCCTTATCTCAATCAGCAAAAACCCTTGTTCCTTCCTATCATTGCTTATACTCTCTCTTCAACAAAATTAGAGATAAGGGCAAAATAGTTTCTGCTGGGTATTGAGTGGGTGGTGGGGGAGAGGGAGGGAGCAGAGTGGGTGGTAAGGGAGGGGGTGGGGGCAGGGGGGAGAAATGACCCAAGCATTGTATGCACATATGAATAATAAAACAATAAAAAAAAGATAGTTGATCAATTTTGAATTGATTTTTTTGGTTTTAGTCTCCTAAATGTGAATATTCAGTTTTCCTAACACCATTTTTGAAGAGACAATCTTTTCTACAACATATGTTTTTGGCATCTCTATGAAATGAGATAGCTATAACTCTATGGGCTTATTTCTGAATCTTCTATTCTATTCCATTAGCCTACATGTCCATTTTTGTACCAGTATCATGTGCCTTCTGTTACTATGGCTCTGCAGGAGAATTTGGAGTCTGGTATTCTAATACCTCAAGCCTTATTCTTTTTTGTTCAAGGTGGCTTTGGTTATTTAGCGTCTTTTGTGCTCAAATGAATTTTAGGATTCGCTTTTTTATTTCTGTGATTGAGATTATAATTGAATCTGTACATTGCTTTTGGTTTTTTGGTTGTTTCACAATGTTAATTTTGCTGATCCATGAACATAGTAGGTTTCTCCATCTTCTAGTGTCTTCTTCAATTTCCTTCTTCAAGGTTATAGTTTTCATTCTAGTGGTCATTCACCTCTTTGTTTCTGTAAGTTTTTATTTCCTCCCTTATTTCTTTGATGATCCACTGATCATTCAGAAGTGATTGTTCAGTCTCCATGAGTTTTTATATTCTGTGAAGGATCTCTGGTCATTGATTTCTGGCTCTGTTCCATTATGAGCTGATAAAATACAGGAAGCTGTTTCAATTTTCTTGTATTTGTTAAGTCTTGCTTTTTATTTTAAAATATTATGATCTCTAGGTGTGTTGTTTCAATGGTGTTCCAATAATCTTGCATGTTCTATTCCTACTTGGTCATTCTTTTTTCTTTATCTTCATTTGATTTTTCTATTACATCTAACTTATCTTCAAGTTCTGATATTCTGATATCAATTTGACTGCCCACAGTCAAGCCTGAGAGGCTTTCTACTGAGATTTTTTTTATTTGACTTATGGGGGTTATTATTTCTGGAATTTTCACTTGAATGATTTTCAAGACTTCTATAGCATTACTGAATTTCTCTTTCATATCTTGCATTACCTTTCTCATTTCGTCCTGCTGTTTATTGGTATCCTCTTTCAATTTATTCAGCCATTTATTTGTGTTCCCTTTGAATGCCTTGAGGTGTTTATACATGTCCTCTTTAATTTCATTGATCATTCTTATCATTCTTTTGAGTTTAATGTTTAAGATTTCATCTATTTCCTATCATTAAAATCCTTTAGTATAGGATTATTGACATTTTTAGGTGTCATGTTGCCCTTTTTTCATATTTCTTTTCTTTAGGTGGTACTGGAACTTGAATTCAGGTCCTCATGCTTGCTAGACAGGCACTCTACCACTGAGCAATTCCACCAGCCTGTTTTGTGTTGGGGTTTTTTTGAGATAGGGTCTCAAATTATTTACCTGGGCTGATTTGAATTGAGATCCTCCTGATCTCTGCGTCCCCAGTATCTAGGATTACA